TGGTTTACTTGTTGCATTGTGCACATTGACATCTGGTGAATGGTGCATCTATGCTGCTGGTTGTTGCCACTTTCATCATTGCTAGATCCTAGGCTGTTAGTGCAGTTCACTTTCTGATATGCTACAAGTGGTATCGGAGCATGTGCGATGAATCTTGGCAGCAACCAATCAATCGATTGATTGATTGGATTGGCGGTCTGCCACCAATCAAGCTTCGATTGATTGATTGATTGATTGATTGATTGATTGATTGATTGATTAATTAGGTTGATTGATTATTTTGCAATTGTTATTTAATCTTGGAAATTCCCGGAATTAATTATTATTTCTTTTTCCGAGAATTTTTTTCCGAGAAATTATTTCTTTTTCCGAGAAAATTTTTTTTCCGAGAATTTTTTTCCGAGAAATTCTTTTTTTCGAGCAATTATTTCTTTTCCGAGAAAATTCTTTTCAAGAAATTATTTCTTTTTTCGAGGAAATTCGTTCTGAGAATTCTTTCTCCAAGAAATTCTTTTTATTATCTTATTGTTAAAATGTCTGCAGTTGACAAATTGGATTTTTTTTTTTCCGATAATGTCCCTCTACACTTTCACTGCGTAGGTTTGCAAATTCCGTTYTTTTTTTCAAAAAAAAAAAAAAAAAAACACCATTTTTTTTGCAACCTACTCCTACTCTGAGCTGTGAAGATACTTCTCTTCTGTTTTCTGCCAGTTTGAGTACCGAAGGGTACTATTGCGTTTTGCATCCCTTTCGGCACTCAGTGGTATTGGACAGTCTGTTCTTTTTTTCGAATTTTGATTCTTTCTTAATTATTATTGCTTGATTAGGGAACTGTTCAATTTGGGATCTCTCCGACCCTTCCCACCTGTCTGCCCCCTACCTGTTCCTCCCCCTCCAGTCCGGGCACTGGGCCAGTCCGTCAGATTGGCCCTCGAGTGACTCTTCAGAATTCGGGCACGGCAGTGCATGACACTACTCACTCGATCACAGACCAAGGCCATGGACCGGAAGGCGGAGGAATCCCTCCTGAGCTATGAGGAACGCCTGGCGGCATTCATTCAAGAGGCCAACGATAGGGCCGCCGCCGCGGCCAAGGAACGTCGGCAACTTGAACAGGAGGAGGAGGCCAAGCGACAGAAGGAGAAACAGGACCAACTTCGTCAAGAGGAAGCAGACCTGCAGGC